CCAATGAGGACGGGGCACCACCTGGTGGAGGAGGAAAGGAAACACAAAAACAGACCACACAAACTGGATTTCTGACAGTATGAAAATTATTAATGATGTTTTTGAGAGTATTAGATGTATTTTACATTCTGTCCATTAAGTTGCTTTTCTGATGCCACCATCTGACATCAGGTTTCTCAACTCTCACTCCCACTTATTTATGTAAAAAAATACCATGGTGATCAAAATCCAGTCCGTGTTTTTAATACAACCTTAGTGCTAACACAGGAGGACAGGTTCATACCCAGTCCGTATTCCCACCTGTTCACCTTGCCAGATATTGAACAAAGACAGTTCTTATGAGGTATGTCATTTACATTTTTTTCTTATCTCATCTGTGCTAGGATAATTCAGTTTTTTTTTTTATTATTGAAGATTTTAAGCAATCTAGTACTTGAGTTCAGATTTGCCTCTTAAACCCATAGAAGCTCCACAAAAAGATAAAGAACCATTGCATTTTATTTTTCAAAAGAACAGCCACCAAAGAAAAGAGCAACCACATTCAGAGAGGATGTGCAGAACAGCTCAGTTATCCAGGCTTCATAACGCGAAAACCACAGGGATGTTCTCATTTTATTCTTACTTATTAATTTATTCTTATTTTGGCCTATTGAATATGTTAACTTATTTTTCCATCACACATTCCAAATAAAACATCCAGAGAAGCGTTGGCTTGTGTCATGGTGAGTTTTTATAAAATCTACAGCCTCCTAGAAGGTCTGAATTGTTTTGCTGTTTTGTCAATTGTGAGAAAAACTGATAAAATAATTAATGAAAAAAAAAATATATAAATAAATAAAATAATGAATTAAGCTTTTAATCCTTAGCCTATTACCAAATATTCATACACAGTGTAGTTTGCATGGGATTTGATTGCACTAGTTCATGTATAAGTGCCAGTAATCCACTGATAACTTAGTAGTTTCCCATTGTTTATTTTACTTAAACTGCAGGGAACAATTAATAAATAAAGTTGTGGAATTCTTAGTTTACAGTATATTTAAGATGTAAGTATTTTAGTAGGGCCCATTCTGCTTTACTTCAATTCTCTAAAAATCAGAATATAGAAAATAATATATATATTGTGAGAAAAATGTTCCAACTAACTACAGATCACTTATTGTTACTCAGTTATATTTACTGTGCTATACAAATCCCACATTCTGACACTTTATTTCTTTAGTTGGATCCTCTGAAAACTTCCAACCTATCCTCATTGCCTTTTGATCGAACTATTTCAAAATCTCACCTCAAGGTTTGGTGAAAAGCTGGCAGCCCAGTGACATGCTCAAAGCAGTCCGCCAAAATATGATTACAACATCCTTATCTGTATTATAGTTGTGTCTTTATTTAGATGATGCACTATATACTGTAAAAGTTTAACAAAACCTTAGCAAAAAGTAGTATACTTGAAGTAAACTCTATTAAGAATACTTACGGTAAGTATAAGTACAACTTTAGAAAGTATACTGAACAATGTACTTTTAGTGTACTTGAACTATTACTAAAGTAATACTTCTTCGAACTAAGTTGGGACATTTTTAAGTTTACTAAAGTATGCTTAAAGTATACTAACAGTATAGTAACAATAAAGTAAACAATAGTATATAGTAGTATAGTAATAGTATATGAAATATAGTTTAGAAAAGTAAACTCTAAGTGCACTGCCTGATTTTAAGTATGAAATTAGTGCACTTTTAGTATACTTGAATGAACTACTTTTTGCTAAGGGAAATCTAAACATAAAACTCTTCATTTATACATTATATTTTACACATTCAACCCCTAAAAATGGGCTGCTGGAAGTAGGATAGGATCCCATTTCTGGGACAGATCAGTTATAGTCATTATATAACAAAAGGGATAGAAATGCATTAATTATCTCGGAAAAGTTAGATTTCTGTTTAGCTCACTTTTTATGATTAGGGAGAGAAAAAAGTCAATTTGTTCTTTTTCATAAAACAATCAATGTATTGCGGTTGAGCGTGTGCCACTGAACTCATATCCGATACAAGGAGCGCAATATTTGACTTTAAGCTGTCCTAAGTCCTTAGTAGTTTAACTGTGACTTTCAAAGTTGAGATTTTCAATTAATTCAAAGACTGAAAAGATGTGTCTGTGGCAAAATTACAAGCATCCCTCTGCTCATCTCTATGCTAAGTTAGCTTAGGCTAAGCTAACTGCCCCAGTGCTCATCCTCACCCATGCTAAGCGGCTGTGGCGGCTAACTTCTTTGTGACCAAGAAAAGTAGATACCAACAAAAATAATTCCTCGAATGTAAGATATCTGACTTTTTTTTTATCTGTGTTTAATATTCTTTGGTTAATTTTATTTATTGTGATATTATTTAGTTATTTTTCCAAAGGCTACAGTAGGTTATAGCTGTTGAATGTAGCCTAGTGGCAGTTGGTGCAAATTCTTGGTTTGTTTTCTGGATTTTAGTTAGCTTTTTTGATTCTTTAAAATTCATAAAGGTTGTGTAGATTACAGCTTGGCATCATTTTCAGTTTTAACATCCTTACACTAATTATATAAGATCTGATATATTTAAGATGACGTGTGTAGCAAAGATGCTAACAGTTTGCCGTTGACACTTCTGGTACGGTTTAGTGAATTGGAGAATATTTATGAATGTGTTTCTATGTGAGTTTATTTTTCAAAGTACTTTATTTTCCAAAGAGAAAACAAAAAGTCACTTATATTAGCTAAGGTACCTTATCTAATGTGGGTGATTGGCTGAGGAAGAGGATTCTTGTGCCATTCCATTTTTTTCAAATTTTACTTTCACCTAAAACACCAACTTTGTCATTCTTTTTCCAGCAGGATTGTTTTAAAAACCTTTGTGTATCCCTATAACCCAACAAAGGTTCCTAGATTTATTCTCCATAGCATGAATTCTACATGATTTGCTTGTCGGTTGGGGTCACAGTGAGCTGGTGCATATGGGCTTATTTGGCAAAAAGCATGCTGCAACTGGGACAGGTTGTCAGTACAGTAAAGGCACATACGAGCATGCACACACACTATACCTAATAGCAATTAAGAGTCACCAATCAATCCCACATTCATCATTTTAAACTGAGCCGGAGAGAACCTGCAAACTCCATGCACCTTAGGCTGACTCTTTCTCTTGGCAAACTGTGCCACGATGTTCCATATCATGAACTATCACCTACTTTATTTTGTTCAAAGGCTCTGGTTAAACATAATTTATCTCTACAACTATTGTCTTGTGTATCTTGTACCTTCTTAAGTTCAAACTGTATGTCTTTTAGTTTCCTCTCCTAATCTGACACAAAAAGAGTGAGAAAATAGATTTGTCTTAAGATTACTAGATTAATCTCTAGGTAAGCTGATGTAAGCAACTGGTGTTAAAGAAGTGATTGATGAATATCAAGAAATGTTTTTCATGTTTAATTTATAAAACTTTCCCAAACAAGAAGCATAAATTATACTACTAAATGCTGTGTTGTATTGATTTATACTCCATCCCAAAATAATTCCTAAGTTGATTAAAACTCTTCTCTTTTCCCCTCTTGTTTGCATTCTAGAGGAAGTCTTTAAGAGATCAGTGGCTGATGGAAGGAAGTCCATTATCTCCCTTGTCACCAAACTCCCAGAACACCTTTTCGTCTCTGTGGGGAACTCATGACCAGGATATGGAAGAGCAGAATGACAAGTACTGTGTTAGCATAGAGATAAATGCCACATCTTTTACTGTCAAAATTTTTTCAACCCCTCATATTTTTCTTCACAATCATCTGTGTTGCTCTGTAAAGAATAATAGCATCACTGTTTTCACCCGTACTTACACAGTTGTGTGTCCGTCTCAGGTTGCAGTCGGGTGACCAGCAGGCGACTGTGCAAGCGGATCATGGAATGGTGAGGAAATCACTGAAGCAAACACACACTGGGAGTAAAGACACAAAAGAGGGGTGGGAATACGTGTAGAACGTGTTTGGTGCATCACCTTCCATTAGGGAGGAAATTTCCCACACTGCCTCTCTCTGGCTCTCAGCCATGTATAATGCATGTCGTCGCTCATTCTACCTTTGATGTAGCACTTTCTGTTGAAAAGCAGGAACTTTATGAATGCACGGCATCCGGTTTCATAAACATTACAGAGCTTGATCCACCCTTGAATAATTGTTTTACGAGCAGTTATGTGTTTGTTCAGCACCTTGCTTGATATTGGAGCAGAAATGCTGTCTGAAGTTTTCTACTGTTGCTCTAGGACGTCTCCTTCAGTTTCTCTTCATTACATCAACCTTCAGCTTGAATTTTCAATTGAAAGATGAGAGACATTATAATTCATTCAAACTCGGAGGCAACATTTTTATATATATTTTAGCATAATTCCTCTGAAAAGCAAGTGAGACTGATAATTTATTGGGAGCTTTTGATATCTGATGTTAGAAGGGGTAATAAAATGGTTGCTGTTTCTGAGAAGAGCTGGAACTGGGCAACTGTTTGCTTTTTTGGACGACGCAGAAGCCTGTTTTAAATGCCAGGGATATACAATCAAGCCACAAATATTTTCATAGGTGATTCATGTTACAGATACAGATTGGACAGTCACAAGGAGAATTGTGTTATAAAATAAGAGTAATATTTTTTCTGACATGAGAGATTGATCTTTTCAAATGCTTATTATAGAAATTTTCCCTCTTTTTACCTCACAGGAGGCTGAAAAAGTGTTTGAAACCCGAGCAGGTGAGTGGAATTAAATGAACATGAAGCTGACACCTTTTCAAAGTGTTTTCCACCCTTACAGGATTATCTCTTTACTCTTTCTTTATATTGTTTCTACAAATATAACCTGCGTGAATACAAAAATTTCGTTTTTAGATAGTTATCTCAGTGATTTGCAAGGTTTTTCCAAAGCTTGTCTCTGTCACAGCAGAAATATGCATGTTTTAGAACAAATAAAATCAATGCAAGTCTAATATTTTTAGTTTATTCAAAGATATACGCCTGCTGTATGTCGAAATAAGCATTAAAAAGCGTAAGCTAAGTGGTAAAATGATACGGAGCCGACTTAGCAGGAAAGACTATTCGGCTATTTTAACACCCTTGCCATATATTTGTGCCTTTATTTTAGGGTCTGGTCATAAACTGTTTAATTAGTGTCAAAATTGAATATTTTGGCCGCAACCATGTAAAACATCAGAAAGAGGTGCATATCAACTACTATGAAGTGATAAATGGAGATGAGGGTTTTCCATCACTCTGAAAACGTTCTTCTGATTCTTGACCTGCAGGTTACCAGATTGTAACGGCCAAATGTATTTAATTTATTTTTATCATAGCAGTATCGCCATGTTTAATTCTATCCTCTTTTTTTTTCTAAGGTTATTTTGTTACATTCTTTGCATATGTATACAATTTATGAACCAAAACATAAAAGGAAAAACACATGTATTTTTACATGAAATCTTAAATTACTCTTTAGTTGATTAATCAGATAAGAAATACTTTCTGATGTCCCTTTGTGCATTAAAATTGCAATAATTATGTAGCCTGAGAAGCTCTTACATCAGGTATTTATGTAACTGAGAAGCAGAACGTAGCTTTCATCCATCTGGACACCTTTTTATAATGCTTGCATGTTCATCTGTCCAAATCCATCTGACCTTTCACTAACGCAAATACACTTTACTGTCTATCATCACAGCAGCTCTGCTTCATTGCTCTGCTGACTCATTTTATTCCCTTTTTTCCATTTGAAAGCAATGAATTTGAATGAGAGCTTCCTAAATTAATAACATAGAGGATCCTTAGTACAGCTTTGGTCCCTCCTTGTAGCATCTCATGGTATTGGTTTATCAAAAATATAGATGTGTTGATTAAATCCACTACTGTAATACAGTTTATGGTTGTAGTTCAAAATGTATTTTTCTTTCTTAGAAATCAACCACATTGTTTTGGAGAATGAAGACATCATTCCATTTGGATCAGGTGAGTAAAAACAACCTTTAGGAAAGAAAATCCCACTGCGTCAAATTACATCCTGATGCTTTATTTCAGCTACGAATCCTCCGGTCCTTCGATCAGCAATCAGAATCAGCAATACTTTAATAAATCCAGAGGGAAATTACTTTTGTTACACGCTCCTGATACAAACATTTATATACATATATATATATATATATATATATATATATATATATATATATATATATATATATCTCTACACTCACCGGCCACTTTATTAGGTACCCCATGCTAGTAACGGGTTGGACCCCCTTTTGCCTTCAGAACTGCCTCAATTCTTCGTGGCATAGATTCAACAAGGTGCTGGAAGCATTCCTCAGGGAGTTTGGTCCATATTGACATGATGGCATCACACAGTTGCCGCAGATTTGTGATGCCATCATGTCAATATGGACCAAACTCCCTGAGGAATGC